ATGACTTGATAGAAGGGGGTCCAATGACCCTACTTTATAATATTCTAAGCGGTTTATTATTATTTTTTTTTTTAAATGTTAAGGAGGTCCCTGGGCCAATTCCACATTTAAGACGGTGGGGTAATGACATATTATTATAATATAATAAGTAATAACAGAATGTTCATAGTCACTACCTATTGGCAGGTACGTCATTATATAATAATATTATATTATAAACAAATATAGGTAGGTCCTCCGTAGTTTGTTAATTGTATTTATATTGTTAACTTTCAAACGTATAATGGTCCAATTAGGAGACTTTAGAAAACTTAGCTCCGAGCATAAAATTATCCCCTCCAACTAGCTAAGACGAAACAACGTAATATAATCGTATACAATATTGAATATTTTTCTATAAATATGCTTATATATTTGAGTGTGTTGTGTATAATCGTGTTTACCATCAATATTATAACATTAATTAGAACTAAATTTGGCACTGGTTTTGCAATAGCTTTATATTATTACATAATATTTGCATTAGTATAAACATGTGGTACTGTTTATATATTATATACGTTTACATAAAATAATATACCTATAAGCTCTGAAGTACTGAACGGAATTTTGGAGGTTAGTCAATCATTAAGGTTGTCGTTTACGATATTAATAATTATTTGGATGGAATTTATTAAGTATTGATTAATAAATCAGACAAAAAATAACTAATTTTGTTTTACTGTCTTTGATACTGTATGTCTGTGTCTTGAGTGGATATATATATATAATAAAAATATGATACATGAATGTCGATTGGCCGAGATGCGATTTTCATCATAATGTGATTAGTAAACAACAATAACGATTTTAATAAAAATGGGGAAATTAGGTAACCACTCTGCCGTACAGTCCAGGACAGTGTCGAGTGTATTTCGTCATTAAGTAAGTGAGTAAGTCACTGTGAACTATAAAGTATGTGTTAAATTATTAATATAAATGATTGAATACGAAAAACGATTCTGAGCGAAGGCTCATCGAGGTCTGCTCCTCCTATATCATTATAGACACTAAGTATATTTTATGATATATGTATACTACTAGTATGTATACGTATAAATATATTTTACTATTAGTAATATGGTAGGCTGATTTAATTTCGCCAAAATCATTGCATTTATTATATTTAACTATTATAATAGGTATGGTTTGTATATAAATATATATGCATACGATATGTATATAAATATATATTTATATCGTACCCATATTATTGTTATCTTTTGAGTTAATACCTACTTACCTATGAACAGGGTGAATAGGTTCCTGGTACATAATAAATATATAGTCAATAACTTAAAAGTTAAAATGAATCTAAATGTTTTGAAAATGTCAATAAAATAAAAAAATATACGTAAAAGTTTCAAGACCCCGCGAATAATATTTTCAAATTACCTACAGGCTACAACTAAATTAATTTAAATTTTTATTCTTGGTTTAAATATCAATTGTTATGGGAAAAATCGTACCACTCCTCCCACCGCAGTTTCCATACCCACACTATTTTTTTGTTATTAGAAAACCACACACGTCACACAACATAGTCAGCACACTACGACATACGTTTGTAATGCAAATCAATTAGCGATAAGTAATAACAACAATTTTCTAGGGGGGGGGGGCAGGAAAACAACGATATATTTATCAATAATATAGTCTTCACCAAGCCTGGAAAATAATTTTAAAATGGATTTCGTTAACCAATCAAATAACACTAACATGACAATTTAATAATTTATCAAAATAATATTGACTATTATTTTTCTACTAGAAATGTTTAGTAAGACAATTTGTTAACATACATTATTAAAGTTTGATTTCAGTACAATTTACCGTTCCGAAATACTTTGGTATATAACATATTTTGGCGAAAATGTCAATTAACTGAGGTTATTAATTTTTAAAATACTACGAAGATCAAAATAAGAAAACCTATTTTGTAAGAAACTGCATAATAATCCCGTTTCCCCCTATTTTTTTTTTGTTTTTCTCAATTACTAAAAAAATATTGGGAATTTTTTACTCTTGTCCTGCAATGTATCAATTTGATTTAATTTTTTAAAAAAAATAACACACATCATTGTAAAATCAATACATTCATTGCTCCTTTCAGAAACTAAAAATAAAATATAAATAAATAATAATATTTATCAAAATAAATTAAATATTTATCACCTAATAATTAATATCAAAGAATAAATACATAGAATTAAAAATAATAAATTTTTGAATTTATTTGAAACTGAGACGATAATATAATAGGTATGAATTAATATATTCATAATATTATTATTAAGTATGTATTTATAATAATGCAAAATATATGTACATAATAATATTAAGTATTTATTTATTTCAATAAATAATGCGTTTTAATAGATTTATTACCGATAATATTCCGCCTGATTCTTTGCTAACGATTTACGTCACGCACAAAATGTTTGCCTACTCGAGTTCCTTGTTAGTGTTAAAATAATTTGTTTTTCTTATGACTGACGAGTCAGCGTTTTGCGTGTGTATCTAAGATTAAAACTTTTAAATTAAGCTTTCGACTAAATAAAATAATTAACCACAAATATAAAGTACGTTTGATACTTTTTGTTTCTTAATTACACATTTTGAAATCTATATAGAAAACAGGGCTTCAAAACGTTTTTCTAACGTTATGAGTATAACGTTAAACAATTCAAAAACGATATTGAAATCGATAACGGATAACATATCGGTGAACTATAAACGATTGAAACGAATAACAGTGAACGTACTATTAAACGATAAACGATTGAAACATATAATTGCCTGAAAAAAAAATATTTAACAATTATAACTATCAGTAAAATATACATTATGGTTACTTTTGTAATATCATATTTTTCAATCACTCTGTTTTGTTTGGGAAACAAGCTATATCCATCAGACAACGATAAAGGCTTCATAACGTTGAAGTTTGTAAAACGTTTAAACGCTTAAGTTGAATAACGTTTACATCAGGGATGGAAAACGTTTTTTAATTTTTTCGTTTTTGTTTATTGATTTAAAAAATATCGTTTTTGTTTAACGTTTTTAAACGTTTTTGATTAATGTTTTTAAAAACGTCATTTTTCTATATTGTTTTTGATCAACGTTTTTGATAATATTGTTTTTATTTTTTTATAATAGTAAAGCGTTATTTAGAAATGCACTTAAAAGTTAAAAATTAAAATTAATTATTCTTAATAGGTATTTTAATTTTAAATCAAAATTATAATTTATATAAAAATTAAAAATGTCCTCTGATTTCAAATTAAAATGTTTTTAAATTTTAAGAGTGAATTATTGGTAAAGATTAAAAAGTAAACTTAAGTGAAATTTTTTTTTTCGTGGTATAAATATAATAATGTATAATACTATAATTTATTTTCGTTTTCGTTTTTGATTTCGTTATTAAATTATTTCGGTTTTTGGGATTTTTTGTTATCGTTTTTCAGTTGTCTTTTGTTTTTGTTTTATTAATTGTTTTCGTTTTTTTTTTCATTTTCGTTTTTGTTTTTTCCCAGTTTAATGACGTTTTTTAAAAACGTTTTCCATCCCTGGCTTAAATTCTTTATAACGTTATAAACAGTCATTCGATCATAATGTTTAATATCTACATAACCGTAAATGGTAATATTTTTTTTTATAGAAGCCCTGACAGAAAGTAATGATTGAAATATTTGTTACTACTTATTAAATATATATTTGAAATTGCTAATATTGAATTTATACAACTCTTGTTATATTTTATAAGTATATTATGTAATAGATTATAAAACAAAATAATTCTTATCCTAACTTTTATTTTATAACGTTTAGACTATCTGCAGATGTAAGTACGTAATAAGCAGTATTACCAAATATATTTTATATTTTTAGATTTGTTAAGTAAGTTGTATTTTGTAACTCATCTGAATGATATTATATTCGACTGTAACTGTAAATATAGCTACATTAGTAAATATATTTATCAATAGAGTATTTTAATATTACAAAAACGTTTGCTTATTCGAGATGAAACGGAGTATTTAATATAATATTTATACAATAATAAAAATATATATTAATATGTATGGCGAAAAACAACAAAATTACTTATAGTTTGGGTAAAGCTATACAGACATCACCGGCTTGGCGTATTTGGTCGTAACCTATATATTAATTCCTACCTACTTAAGAGTTTCGACTTATCATCAATTTTAACTCTGAGCCGAGGCGAAAACCACTCGAGTGTCCTAGGATAGAGCTCGTGATCTTTGCATTAGGTTTAGTACGATATTATCATAATATATCAATTACTGCTCTTACACGACTTAATCGTCAAAGCCGACGTCGTAGTTTCGCAGTGTCAACTTTGCTAAATATAATATCGTGTACATTGTGTTGTTGCTGTTGTTGTTACGCTGTCGTCGTAATTTATGGTTTTTCTGTCCGTATATCGGAATATAGTATATACTCACGCCGAGTTCCTCGGGGTAATCACGTCTGTACGATATACATATATTGTAGCAACGAATGTGTAATAAAACATTAAACCATTAGGCCACGGGCTATTAAGTTATTACGGGGTAACTTTTGGTCCACGCAAAACAAATTAAAAACTGTGATCTGATAGATACACGTGCAAACGCATAATATTGTTAGAATAGAGCCGACCGCTGTCGGCGTGTGATATTGTGTAGGAACAATAGTATTACTTGCGATGAAAATAATATAATCGTTTCCACACGATTTGAATAATATGAAAAGTTTTATTTTGAATAATCGCTTATACCTACTGCGGCGACAATCATGGTCAAACACGACACGAGTCTGATTCGTATTCCATTCGGATGGATTAAATTATAAACATAGGAATATAATAATAATATTACGATCTGTCGTGCACATGAATAAACCGATAATTATTAATAAACGTACACACATTTTGGCGGATTCATAGTATAATATCATGACTTTTGTTCGCTTGCAGTTTCTTGCAGTTCAACATCCATCGCGTCACTCGGTGTCGTCAAAACAGATGGATCCGAATACGAATGCATTTTCCTGAACGCCTGAAAACAAAATATACGAGGGTGGTGAGCGATACATAATTACATATATAATATAATATTATTACTTTTATTATTATATGATGATTTTATAAAAAATATACTATGATTTAAAAGTTTTCTAAGACGCAAATAATTTTCCATCGATTATGAGGGGGAGACACTGTGAACTGCAGTAGAGCTTATTTGTATCACAGCAGACGTAATTGGTGGGCATATTAGCTTTTGAGTTTAAAGCGGAATGATTTTTTACCGAAAAATTTTTATCTGAAAGGCTATAAATTATAATACAACTAGCGCACGAGGCGGAACATCCCCAAAAATATCGTTTTTGTTAATTTTTATACCAAATCATAGGTTGACGATTGCAGACTTTTATGTTCAGGTTCACTTATTATACACGTCGTATTGTGCATTATAGTTAATAATATATAATTATTTTTACTGATAACTATTATAATATAAGGGTATTTTTTATAAATATGTATTTAATATATTTTTTTTTAACAAATGTGCCCACTACCATCTATCTACAAATCCTAGATCCACGGCCATTGTAGTTGAGTACATTATTATTATGCTATATAATGCTCTTTTACCTGCGATTTGTTCATACTCTCCACGGCTCCGTAAGTGGGGTTGTCGAACGAAGTCTTACGCTGCAATCGGACGTCTTCGTCGATCAGTTCCACAGCTTCGTTGGTATCGTTTTTGAATTTGACGAAAACAGCACCAGCACTAGACCCGGAGCCGGACAATAGTGATTTCCTGTCCAAGAAAAGACGTTTGTTTGTGTGTTACAGTTTATAGTAATATATTATTACATTACAGATTATAGAAATGCTATACTGCAGGGTGATTATTTTAAAGTAGAACGGTCATTATCTAAGAAATCACAATTTATTTATTTATTTTAAAACCAAATACCTGCTGGTAGTTGTGTAGACAAACGCGTAAGATAGAATGTGTTCTTAAAAATCAAGATCAAAACATTTTTCGTATTTTATAAGATATTTTCGGGATTACTCTCGAATTTCTTCTATAAATAATCCCGTACATATACGCATAATGCATAGTTATACACTTTATAAACCATTAAGCCGGCTTTTCTCGACCTTTGTGACTTTTATTTATGACCAAATATTTACCAGATTTTTATAGCGACTATGTGGCGCCGAACGGTTTCAAAGCAAGCGGGAAGTATATATATTATATATATATATAAATATGACACAAGTTAGTAAACTCGCACCCACTCACAACCCAAACCCACTCATAACCCACACCCACCACCAGTCATCATTCTCTGTCTCATCTGATAGTACAGTATGCTTGCAAGTGTTGGTTGACGATAAGACAAAATCATAACTTTTTTAACGATGATCCAAAAAATCAATTCAATCGACATGCCGCAACTACGTTTATAATATACTATGGATAGGTAGGAGCTAAAGTGTCATTAAAAACTGTCTAGTATATCAGTGTACCTACCTTTTAGTTTAATAAACTATGTGTTTCACTCCATTGATTTAAATTTCCCCTTCACAACACACTCGGACGATAAAAGTTTCCAATAGACGCTCGTATACGACCAAGGTTGACCGTAATTCGATTATCGATCGTTTTGAAGGAGTTCAACATAGGAAATTGTACGATATGACAGACATAATGTAAATTAAATGTGCGTAGTAACTAAATTATCATTGTTGTGTGTGTCTGTACAGTGTGTATTTACTGTAGTAAGGTAATATAGAAGATAATGGACTCCAGCCAGTATAATATAGTCGACAACTACCCAATATTCGTCGCTAAAAACCTTAAAGATTTTTGTCCATAATTATTGATCATAATAATATATACGATAAGGCTATAAAGCTTATTTTTTTTGTAAGGTTACTGAGATCTTATTTCAGTGATTTTTTTTTCTCCAATAATTCCAATATCAAGAATAACCACGGTTTATATTAATTCTTAAAATCATATACACTTTAAAATCAAAAGCGGAATAAATAAGAGTAACACTTTGAAAAATTTAGATCAATAATATTGTTTTAGATTTCTTATCACTATTGTTGTATCAGTACGATGGATAAAAGATAAGTACCTATGTTTTAGTTGAAAAAAACAATCGAGTAATATCTAACCGTATAAATTCGATAGTTCTATACATTTTCCGATGCGTTAACAAAAAAAAAAAAAAATACATATAATATCAGGTACCTACGTACATTGTACATCCCGCCATCCGTATCCGGTAGGCAAGTCATAAAGTCGTATATCGATAAAACTGAATAAATTACTTATTTTTTACCGTCATAATACATGACATTTGAAACCGAGAATTGAATACGGTGTATAATAATAATATAATACACGTTAGCGATCCTTACAAAGGTATCCCAAAGTTCGAGAGACGCCGCCGACCATAAACCTGCGAAGTATTTTTTTAATAGGACTATGGAACCTACTTATTCGGGTTATCATTCCGACAACTGACACGACCGTTTACGGGTTTCCATTGCTGGTTTGACCATTGAAAATCGTTAGTACCCATTACTGGTATGAGACATAAAAACATAATAATATACGATTGTGTTTTACCAGTCGTTGTTGTAGTACAACATAATGGCCAACATGCTGCAAAATATGACGATGCACGTGGTCAGGGCTATTTGGCCGTACGTCATACCGTCCGCGTCGTAAGCCAGTCCCGAGTTGAATATTTTCACGTCTGTCACACCCTGGTCTGTGAAAAACAATAAGCAAACGTCAGTGAGGAAAAACAAGCATCACTAAAAAGTTAGCTCGTGTTTTTTTTTTTTGTAAAGCTATCGTTAGAAATAAAATCACAAGTTTTACTAACACTGTGGGTTCAGTAGATTTACCTACCTACATCAAATTGTATAGGCTATATGCACTTTTATTGCATACGTCCCAAAGGCCACCTTAGAAGATTATCTTGGTCACATCTCAGCAGTTAAATTTGGTTATTTCAACTGGTATATTTTGTAAGACATTTTTGGCACAAGTTTGAAATAGAAATAACATTTTTGTGCAATTCAATTTTTTATACTTGCTATTTTTTTTTCTTAATTTATTGAACAATTATTCAAACAATTTAACAAAATATATATTAAATATATAACGATTGAGTGAAAAAAAGACTCAAGTATTAGGGAAGGTTAATTATGAAATTACGAAAATTACAACACCTTTATATAAATGCAAGAAAATTTCTAAATATACAAACACTTCGTTTGATATATTTTTCCATGACACAATCAATCCTTCAATATGGTATAACTGCATGGGGTGGATTAGGTATCATTGCTAGCAATAAAATACTGAGAGCCCAAAAAAGTATAATAAAAATAATACTAAAAAACCTAAAACATATCCGACTATACAACTATACAAGGAATTTAACTTTTACACTGTGCAAAAATTATTTCAAAGAAATTCCCTCTATTTCATATATAAAATGAATTTAATTAATTTAAGACTAACATTCTACAATACACGGCAGGAGAATAACATAGAGATCCCTTTTACCCGGTCGATTAAATCAAGCCTATGTTTTTTACAGGTAGGTCTTAAGCTACTGAATAAAGCACCACCGCATATCATAAATTGCAAATCCTATGAACAATACAAAAAAAAAGTTAAAATTTGGCTAAACCATAGCCCAAGCATCTGAGTCATAGTGTTCAGTGTTAATATAAAATATATGATGTGAACCTGATAAAACTTAATATATTATATTATATAGCAACCGATTAATTAATTTTACTTTTTTTATTTTATTTTTATTATTCTTATTTTGTCTTTTAATGTTTCCATTTTTAATTTTAATGTTTATACTACTTTAATTACTTAGGTTTTTTATTAGTACTCCAATTTCAGCAATAAGAGGTTGTTTCCTCAGTGGTGTGTTGGCCGTTGGGCCATTATACTCGATATTCTTTTATTATAACCACTGTACTGAAATCATATTATGGCCAATAAATAAATTATTATTATTATTGTTATTAGGTAAAAGTTTTTTTTTCCGAGAATAATAGTAGACAATAATATTAGTAATGCTGTATTAGCAAAAAATATATTACACGTCTACATTAATGAAATGTTGAAAATTTGTTGATGGACTAATTTTAGATTGTATACTAAAAGCTCCATTAAATACGATATAATATTATATGTATAATTAGATTAATAATAAGTAGATTTATTTTTACGAATTGTCGTACAAAAATTTGCATTACAACAAGATTGATTTCGACAAATTATGGATTCCTTAAAGTTTCTTGCTAACATATAATAACTACCTATATAATATAATATATTATTCTCATAATATCAAAAACTTAACTGGTTTTAATTAGGTAATTTTTTATTTGATTTTAATAAAAATATTTGATTGCTTAAAAAAAATAATCACTATTTTGAAAATGTAGAAAAATAGTTTTGTAGTGACTAATGTCTTAGTTAAAATAGGAGGGTGGTACTATAAATGACATGTATAAATGTGGTACTTATTCAAATCGAAAAAAGTCCACTGTAAAAGCTGTTTATGGTAGTGTGAAAGCTGGGCAATATATGAGCATTAAATGTGAGATAATATTATGTAATATTAAAAAAAAAACACAAAATAAGACGTATCTTTTATGGTGTAAAATATTTGGTATTCAAGAGATGAGTTGGCATTTTATACATTTTAATAATCTTTTAGTTCCGATGTCACAGACGGTTTTTTGAACACCGGCGCCTGTATTATTGACGTCATATTGTAGATTAAAATATTATAAAATATGCAGATTAGGTCCACGGTTTTCCACCATGTTCGTCCTCGTATACACATCCCGACCAGCTACATAAACTTCAAAAGTGACGTACTATATTTGGATAAACCCTACTGAAAGTTAATAATTATACTTTTATGTCAGAACTTTAAAAAGCGAGAGGGCGAAAACCGATGGTTTAATTTTTTATTTCAAGTTGAGCCAAACCAAAAGAACATACAAAACCATATTTTAATAATATCATAAAAAAGAAAAAAGTAATTGATTATATAGTGTTTATTTAATAATCGTAAACATGGTTGCACATTGCGCTGCCGGACATTGTGCATACATAATATTATATTGTATTTATGTATCAACGTTTTAGATTCTGAGCGAAGCTTTTCTTTTTGTCTGTCATTCACCTTTTTGGTGGAAGCACAAATAATTAGATTTTCTAGATCAGAGTCTTTTCTGATAGGAAACTGAATCTAGTTGGTATTTTGGGAGGTCAAAGGCAAACAATTCCCGATAGTTTTCAAAAGCGTCGGAAAAACAAACATAAAATTCAATTTTATTCAATTAATAATACAATCGATTTTACTTTTGGTATGATTCTAAAAAAAATAACCGTAGATAAATACAAATAATATGTTTACCACATGTTTATATTGGCGTTTTTCATACAACATGACATTTTCAATTTTGATTCTTTTTGAGCTATTTTTTTTTATATAGGCATAAGAAAATGTATTAGTTTTTTCTTCAACCATCGTCAATAAAAAATGTCTAGCTCACAATTAGTTTATAACCTACTTTAAAATAAATTACTATAATCATCACAATAATATCGTACAATATATTATACTTGGTAATATTATAGCCTGACAGACAGTATTCACTCAGATTCGTTTTTCGTGTACTATGATTTTATATAATTGAATTCAAATTTAACACATCCACTATACATTGGCTCTTCTAGACATAATCTAATGTACAGCAGAGTGACTTCTCCGGTTTTTCGTAATTAAATTTTTAGATATTATTATTATTATAGTACAAAGAACAATTAATTATTATCAATTAATTAATTACGAGATGAATTATATCTGAATTTCTGATGATTGAATACCTAGTTTGAAAGTTTTGATTATGTCTTACCAAATAATTACATTATAAATTCTTGTACTAGAATCGTGATATTTGTGATGTTTTTTTTTTTTTTAAATTGTGATGACATATCTATAAGTATAATATTATTATAAGAATATCAATTATAAGTAACTACTTACAAGTAATTAGCAGCGAGTGTATGGTCTTAGCTATTTCATTTATTTCGTCCACATATTTTGTGCTGCTCGCCATTACGACTTGTACTTTTCCGTTCAACAGTTTACTTATGTAATAAGAAAGTTGATGTTTTTCAAACGTCGGTTTTAGTTTGGGCATGTCTTTTTGGAATTCTTTGCTGAATTGTTCAATTGTGAAATTATTTGGGTTGTAATTAATTAAAAAATAAGCTCCTAGAATCAAACCACACAATAATGAACATAATATAGTTTTTTAGAACAGCGCTGATTGATTACTATTGCTAAACATATATATATATATATATATATACAAGCCATATATTTTAAAGGTAAACACTTATTTTCTTGAAAAGTACTAACATGTTTGGAAATATTTTTTTTACGTTAAATATAATAATAATTATGAAGTTATTACAAAACAACATTTTTGAAAAAATTATACTTTTTCCTATTTTTCTTATATTTTATTGTTATTAGGTACATTTTTGATTTAATTTTCTAAAACAAAAAATTTTCTGAGTATTTCCTAAGTATTTTTGTGTATACAAATTTAATTTTGAACGAATAGTTGATATTATAGTTAGAACTTACAAGTATACCTATCTAAAATTAAGATTATTTTTCATACACGTTAAATATACTTGTCGAGTGTTTACTTTTGAAAGAATATCGTCTTGTTTACAAACCTTATAAAATAATATATTATAATATATTCAATGAGTGTAATATAATATATTAAGGTTAAATTAAATTCACAACCATAGAACCGAATAAATGAATATATATCACTGTATACGCACAAAGGGTAATAACAATATATTATTGTTTATCAAAAATCTCACCACAAGTCCAACAACAATGGCCAATCGGTTTCACTGGGCTTAGGCAGCCCAATTTACTATCGCACCGTTTTGAAGCCACTTTGCATACTTGGTCGAAAAGTTGTTGAGTACCGCATTCACATCCTGTATGGACTTCGCAGGACGTCGAAGTCAGTGTAATAGATACATCGTTGTCGGGGGAAAAACTCTTCAGTTCTTGATCGCCGACGTCCGACAAAAGAAACTCGTTCAATTCGGTTTGACCGAACGTCTGCAATAATATTATATTAATACAATGCGTGTATAGTGTGTATGTGTGTATAGACTCGCAGTGACACAGCTGTTAAGAGGCCTCGCTACTGCCGTCAATTTTAGCTGAAGAGACCTAAAGTATTGACAAAATTAATGTCAGTATTACAACGTTGTCCGATTTTGATTCTGAAAAAAAATTTGAACTCACCAGACGATTGTCTATAGATCCTACGAAGCACTTTGTAAGAACTAAATTTTATATTATTGTGAACCGTAAGAATTGAAAATTTGAAAACATGAACTTTTTCGAATCAAAATTAAAATTGAAAACGGAAAATGTTTCGTACGATCTAGTGTCTGCGGAAATTTTTCTGCTGAATTCAAATATTTTTTCAGAAACAAAAAATCAGACAACGTTAACCGACTTTAGTTTTGTCAATAGTTTAGGTATTTTCAGCTAAAATTGACGACAGTATAGCGATGCCCCTTAAAACCCAAAATATTGTTTTAAAACAAACACAAAACGTTAGGTATATTATCATTTATCATTATACTTAATACCTATATTTTACATAAATAATATTTATTATTACGACGAATGCGCTCGTTGTACTCGAATAAATAACACTATACTATAAGTACTGTTCTCTGCTTTTAGTTTGTCATAGGTATTCCACGAAATATACACAATATTCATTTTATTATTATTATTAATATATATATATATTACGGACAACCCCGAGGGGTTGCAATAACTTCATAGCTATGCAGACATCCAGTAAAATCTACATATTGTGCATATTATATTATAATTTTAATAAATTAGATCATTACTTATAAATTATTAACCAAACTATATATGAGCCCCGGAAAATAATATACCTACGTTTAGGTGTATCAATTTTACCTCCATAATAATAATTACCATAAATAACTAGTTACATAACAACGAAAAAGGGTACGCTGTTAAAACGTCTCAAATATTTTATAAAAGTCAGACTTTCTTTTAATATAATAATCCTGATATTGCAATGTATTACGTCTATGTTCTTATTAAATGTTAAGTCAAGTTTTGCATTTTTGTGCGCAGGGAAATAATTTCTACAGAGAATTAAAATGAAAAATATTCTGTTTATTAATATTATATTATTCGTTTAGAGTTGTGTGATATTAAATTTGAATACAACGATAAATCATCGGTTTCGATAAAAAATTCTGATCAGCTAAACACGGTTAAAGCCGTACGTTTTCCTATATACATATCTAATCCTCGTGACTACATAATTTGTCTTGAGGAGAGGGAACCTTCTGAGAAAATTCGCCACTTCAAAGTTACAAAATATATATTATGCATAGATCAGATTTCAAATCTATATTTTGATTTCGATATACATATTATTATAACATTATAGGTATAAAGTGACTTGCTATTTAAAATTGGTTTACTTGCCATGCCTTATATTATGTGCAACTTAACTAAACATTGCATTATTTATGACGAATGTATATAATAGAAATTCACTGTTAAGATGTCAATAGTGGTCTAATCAGGATTCAAACAATTATTTTATCTACAAAACATGTTTTTTTATGTTCATCGTAGGTACGATATAACGAATTAAATTCAGAAATAAATATGGTATTCTTTTACATGGCCTTTAGGTCTGGTTGTAAGGGATCGATATGTTACATAATATTATATTCACATGATTTATGCTCCATTTTACTGCACAATTTTCGAAATCATATAGGATCCGTCATTGTATTCAAGGTCTTTGTAGGAATTCTTATGGTTAAATGTATGTATGGATTCACACTACCTACACCAAATCGATTGACACTGGATTTTATACAGCAAAACGTCAATAAAATAATTTGACATATATTAGTATATATCACTATTATCAATTCACACAAACACACTGTACGTGGTGAATTTTGCAAGGAATACCCGCGGCTACCACCGGATATCAGTTTTTCGTCAATATTAGACATAAATAAAAAAACCATATACTTGGGAAAATAATTTTTAAACTTTAGTTTTTGGCCACTTCGCAGATTATGCGTTTATCCCAACGGTGCAGGTTTATATGCTAACGGTCCATATAATCTATGACGTGCCTATACTCGTTTCATTATAATTTAAATACCGTTTCACGAGTATAATTCGAATAACGATTTAAAATATATTATTATGTATGGTTTTAAACGACTTCGGTCAACCAATATGCAGTCGACTTGAACTCACTTGGTTCCCGAACTTCATTGATCCAATGTCGATCGGAACGTCGGGAACAATGACCGAAAACGAATGGCCAGGGTTGAACACGACGGTGTCGTGCACGCAAGGTATCCGTTCCACGTGTGGCGTTGCTATGTTAAAATTTTCCATCGACCAGTTTTCCGGATCCACCCATTCCATCGGGGCGTTTTGTTTAAACGTCACGTCTGAAATTTAACAACGACCGGCTAAAAATTCGCTGTACAGCGTTCTGTAAACGTGCGGGACACATATTATTTAGCCGAGGGGCAGCTATATTACGATTAAAAAAAAAAAGTGGATGTCTCTCTGCCGTACAGTAGCGGTAACAAGTGGGTCAGTGTGTGATGGAGTGTACGAAACTCGAGTTCAATGATATGATATCATTGTATAAGAAAAACGATTCGGAGCGGAGACGGTGTGTGTCAGTCTATGGATATTTTATAATACATTGTTATTATTTATTATAGCCTGTAGGTCAAATTGATATTATGATATTATAATTTTTTATTCGTTCCCATGGTGATAAACAAAGCATTAGAAAAATTATAATCCCATTTTTAGCTGTTTTTCGTCATTTGTCGGTAGTTTTTCCCGTGGCATTAAATAACTGTTGAGAAAACCGAAAAATTACCTCACTAAATTACCATCTTGATCCTATTTGCTAAATGATAAGATACTCTATATTAAAATCGAGGTACTCCTTTTGGTAGAATTTTTGTATACAGGATAAAAAAAAAAAATAAACACCATTGTAAAACCACTAGATCCCTAGCTCGCTCCGGTCAGAATCTACAATATTCTAATTATTGTATAATAATAAAAGTATTAAATACGTAGGTAAAAAAATAATAAATAATATTATTAAAATACCTCGATCGATATTTTTTTAAATATCAGGTATTTAAAATAAAAACGATTTGTTGAAAATCGGGACATAAGCTAAACGCGTTTAGTGAAAGTCGGTAAATTTTACGGTTCCGATACGATCACGTTATTTAGCAGGACACCAGCTGCTGGAAAATTGGAACTCTGGTCACATTCAACAATGACGATAATAATATATTATACAGTATTCGAGTGTTACTGTTATCACATTCAAAACTGCGTAGGTAGTTAAAAAAAATGCAAATCCACAAAGACCTATAAATTGTCAATGGACATATTGGATCTCTATCGTTTTCTCCAAAGTCCATAACGACGAATTAAATATTTCAAGTCTTATTATAGTGCACATAGATACATAAGATACATTTCGCAAGATATTTATGCACATTTGCTGTTTTGAGAATATTGCATTTTATTATTTAATGGTGAATATTTTTTTTGTTAATCCCGTTTTAACATATTCTTAGTAATTTAATAATTAATTGGTTTTTTTATAGGCCGTCTGGCAATCGTGTTAGGCCTCAGGATTTTTGTTTATTTTTCGTAAATGTTGATTATTATGATTATGATTATTATTATTTATTATCATATTATAGTATTTTTAAAAACGAAATAATGTGACTATAAAATAATTATATTTTGTCAAATTAATATGGTAATAACTAATAATACATTATCAGAAGCAGACACAAATTTAATTTATCTTCATTTGGATATTTAGAATTGTCAATGTATATAAAACTATTATACATAGTATTATTTACACTTTTTTTTTTTTTTGAACTAATATTTATTCTTTATCCATTATGGACATTTTTAAGTTATTATTTTATTTATTTTAGATCATTGTGTTTTCTGTCAAATGCCATCAATCATAAATTTTAATGATAATATACATAAACGATAAACGAGTATATATAATATACGACACCACATATTATTACACGACAATTAGTCAGACACAACGGCATGCATAAATAATTATTAAGTATAAACTATGTTTATGAATGTTGGTTTTAAACTTCATGGTTAAAATAAATTATTACTACATAGTTTAAACTTTTATGCAATATATTATAACAGTAATTTCCCACTCATTATAATATATAGGGAGATTCACTTATCATTCTCACCCTCCTTTTATCTTTTAATAATGCATTTATTAAAATTCTGATTTTTAGAATATTTAAATACCTACACTGAAAGCCAAAAGGTCATATTTTCAAGTTTTCAACTTTTAAAATATTTAGATTTTTTTTCCCATCGTCCTGTGTCACTTACAACATAATATACAACTTATAAAACGGAAAACAATTTCTTTAGTATAATCAATACTTATTTATAAGCAATAGGTAATCTATCTCATGTCAAGACAAAAAAAATTAAATACATATTATAATATTATGTAACTGCAGGTATAAAGATCAACTAGTTAGCTCAAAAATTCAAAATAAAATTTTTAATTCAAATAGTCAGTTAATTTACTAATTAACTTAAAACATAACTATTCAAATTTCAAAGTATCCGTTGTAGTAAGTAGTAACTGATATTTTTATCAGTTAATTTTTAAATAATATGTGAAGTTTAAATCATGTCGATACGTAGGTATAACTGCAGTTAAAGCGAATTGATTAATTATTTTTCTTTGTTTAATCAAAGTGTAAACAATAGTTTTAAATAAAAATAAAAAATAAATATGTATTCCTTTAATAACTTGGTTAACACAAACGTGTAATTATTTCTAAAACTACTACAACTGTTAGCTAGTACCTACTTATGTACAGTAAAAAGGTAAAGTGCATAATATTTAACAAAATATTTAGGTAGTTATATAGATAAAAATGAAACGTGGCCCACAGGTAATTATGTACGGTAGTAAAAAAAACTATAACCAACATCTGAAGTTGGTTAAGTTCATATTTGTCTCCATATATTATATTCTTTTGAGCATTTTGAGTTAAATATATTGTTTGTTGACTATTAATTTACAACTTAACATTCGTTGACTCAAACTTCCAAGTTCAGACGTCGGAAGCCGTGCCATGCCGGAAGCGGCGGTATAGGAAATAAATTAAAATACGGATGTATCAAAAACTATCATAACAATTTACGATTTATCATTGTGTACAACTTTGTTCTAGGGGGGAGGGGGGGGGGGGTGCGACGATGTACAAATGGACTATGCGAAATCAAATATGGAGGACCACAATATTGTACATAATATTATTGTTATAAGATTATAGTCACCCTGTCCCGTGCAACCACCCATCGCTTCGGAAGACGCGGAGATGACTACGCGGGCGTTGGGCTCCAAGATCAGCTGACCGTTGAAGGGCAGCACGACCTCGCACACGTCCACGCCAGCGGCCGGCACCACCACCGGGACCAAGGTGTCCTTCTGGAAAACGGCCACGTCCACGGGTGAAGGGACGTGTCCCGCGTCCCAGTTGCGCGGCGCCTCGAAGTCCACGTTGGGCGTCCACTGCTTGACCAAGCCGTCCACGGCGCCACCTGTAAACATTATTTGAGCATTTTAGTATTTTCAACAGTATTGCGAATATTATAAAATAGGTATTAATATCGTTGTCGTCACGGGCCATCGTAAATATTATAGTACTGCGTCTCGGTTGAGTAGAATTTTAGAAAAAAACAAATACATTATACGGTCGAAACTTCGTTTAAACGGTTTTTCCAGGATGCGTTATTGTGCTCGACAGCTGGTTATATATGTCAATCACTATTGGTAACTATTTTAGTCTAAAAGTATCCAAAGCGTGTTGACAGTTTTGTAAGTGCTGCACACAGTGTTGAACGTTGATGACCTATATTGACCTGCACTCGAGAATAAACTTTACGAAAATAGGTGTATCAAAAATATTAATTTTTTTTAGGTTTTTGCAGAGCTTCGAAACGTTTGGTCCTTTGGAAAATATAATCATGTGTAATATACTTTTAGGTGCACTATATTGTGTAACTAGTAAATAAGTTAAAATTTGAATTGGAATAATTGGCAATGTATTGTCATATTTATAACAATTTTGTTTGCGCATATACTTTAGATTTTTGATGTGTATATTTTATCGATTTTGACTTTTATATAAATTCTGAGCCCAGTACAGAAATATATATTAAAAACAATTATTACTTGAAATGTTATGGATTTCGAACTAGACGATATAATAATTATAATAATAATAATATTGATTTATGTGAGCCGATTTATGTGTTACGGATCACTTGTGCACGGGAGCGAACCTGAAAACGACATCAGGAGAGCTGCGGCCACGACTACGATCGCCGTCGACGACATCATAATATTATTAATATGGTTCCTTTTGGATTGAGTTACGATCGAGACGACAGCAACGGCGACAGCAACGAAGGGACTGGAACAATAGTACGACACTGGCTACAACGACGACATAATTTATTAAAAAAATATTATATAACTATTCAATCGTTGTCGTGTTTAAGTGCGGGTCGATAATGTATAGTCAATATTTAGTACCGCTGTCAGGTCAAACGCACACTGAACAACATAGATCATTATGGTTTTTTAGCCCGACCAGTTGTGGGTGTCGATCGCGCCCGCAGCAGTAAAAAACATGATAATTCGCAATGAATAATATTATACACATTACACTTATGGATCTCGCACCACTGCAGTATATACAGAGTGGTTCGCAAATCACGCTCGCTCCCATTCGATTATTTAATTATTATAATAGTGTGCATTCGTTAAAATTATGATTATTAAGATTTTTAGACTTACCTACTATAATATTATTGAAGGACCGTATATTTACCAACACTTAGATTTTGTATAGTACCATACTAGTAGGAGTGACCTGGTGCGGTACAAACTTTTTTTTTTAAATGAGAATCGCTCTTTTTCCTGTAAATTGTTCATCGAGTTATTTATTTGAAAATGTTTAAATAGAAATTCAAAAGTTTTTAAACAATTATGTTTTATGTACTTATAGAAATATAGAATATCTATAGTCCATGACAATGATATTACATCAAATATAAAATAGATATAAGATTTAATCTACTATAGGAACTATTACCTATACTTATTATGCTCAGACAAATCTAACAAATTATAATAAAATGCTAATCGATTAATTACTATGGTCTATAGTTTTCAAACAATCATAGTCCCCACCATATCTTACACACCTACAATATTGTCACACAAAGATATATTATCCTTGATAGGCATACACAGTAAAATATATTAGGTATAGTATACCTATCACAATTTGAATCAACACAAACGACAATTTCAATTCAAACCGTTCAAATCGGGGTGAGCATATTATGTTTGGTGAACCACGCTGTATGCATTATGAATTATGACAGAATAATAAAATATAAAAAATTATTATACTCCCAGCAACAGCGGTCGTCGTGATGTCGGCAAAATATGGCAATGGTAGTGAAATTATGATCGACGTTGAACACATGGCCAAACTTAGAAGTATTTTAAAAATTAAAATACAAGTGTACAATATAACAACATTATAATACTGTGATCCCACGAAATGTCCTAAAAATTATATATTATTATATGATATGATTCAACACAACGATGCACAAACCTCGTCATATCATGGTGCATATCATGCGATGATCTCCTAAACCCAGGCCCACGTCCAAGCAGTTCGGTTACATGGGGAAAATGGATGGCCAATTGCAGAGGACATGCAGTGTACAAGTGTGTGGCAGTTTTTTTTCTCTGAATATTGGTGTGCGCCCGTCAGTGGCGTTGTCAACGGTAATTTCAGAGGCAATTGCCTTTAAGATTTAAGGGGTGACCGGTGGGCGGTAGCCGGTGGTTTCCCTATAGTAAATGTAATATGACACACTCAATAGGTAGTCAATAATGATCTGAAATATAACTAGTTATATTATATTAATAAATTATTATAATGCATTATTACTTGGGATATTTATAACTCGGCTCTGGACAATTTTTAGTTCGCCCCGCCACTGGCACCCGTCCTAAGACCGTGGTGCAGATAAATAAAAAAAAACAGATAAGGGTCAACGACGCCCCGCCATACACATTAAACACGAACATAACTTACTGATGATTCCATTATCACATTTTTTTTAAACAGTTGCTAAAAACTGACTTAATTCAAAAATCAAAATCGTTACAAGGACTTTACAAATTTAAATCGAAACTCTTTGCAAATACGATTTTCAGAATCCTCATTAAATATTGATCTTGGATTTATCAAAATAAATAATAAATCCGAGATTTGAAATTATGCTCAACTTAAATCATCGTAATAATATTATTATTTAACTGTAAATTAAATATTTTGTTCTAAATATTTTATGCATTTTATAGTTACTGTTGGGCGACGTTGTTCTTAAAAATTCAGGTACGATGTTTGATATTCTGCATTACGCTGCCGAAGGATAAAATCAATTTTTTCACCTAATATAATCATAATTTTTTTATGAAACGTTATTTTTCCACACATATACCAGAGCCATAGCATACTATGCCAGTACGGTATTAAGCAATATAATACCCGCTTAATAAACAGACGTATACACGGTATAATTGTTATACAGTGACGTCTTTGTTTATTTTTTAATAATTTACATTATTATATAATGAATAACACACACTCGATTAAAATACATAATCAAGACAATAAAATATTTTTTTTTTTTCAAAAATCATATAAAATTTGACTCTTTAATATTAAAAATAATGTTTCTTTGATATACAATCTTTCTTTTATATATTCGTAAAACAAAACGCGAGTTCAATATTGAATCGAATATTTTTATTATATAAATTGTATGACATAAATTATAATTATAAATTTTATAATCAAGTTCAAATAATATGTTTTACATACATTGAATGCACACAGTTACAATAATATTGATCTTAAAAATACTAACAATGAATTTAACTTATAAAGCGAGGGAGGGGAGGATATTCGAAACATGTCGTATAAATAATAAAATAGCATTATGCGTAACTCTGCGGGTGAGTGAAATAAATACAATGTTATTGAAGTGTATATAAAACGCCATTCACGTAATATCGATAAAAAAAAATAAATAATAATAACAACGCTGTTCGGATAAAATAATTAAAACACACATAAATAGTTTATAAAGTGGTTTCCGATTTTTCTACATACAATTTTTAAAACAACAAAAAGGATATTTTTGCTCAAATGGCAGAAATATTACATAAATAATATCAATATAATATCGATCAGCGTTCAACAGTATTACTGTTCAGTTTTTATATTATATATATATATATAAATAGGTGAAATGATTTCAATTATGATTAATAATGTAATATAACCATCGTATATTGTGGTGAATATACCTTAAATTAAAATAAATTATTATTTCTCTGCATGAGACGAATACTTCAAATAACAATAAATTCACGCTAAACGTACGTAGATATATAATATTATTATTATGCATAATATATACAGTTGCAAAGAGTGTAATACAGGTATTGCTTTTTGGTAACTATTCTAAGGCATACGTATTATGTATACCTATATAATACCTATAAACTATATATTATAATAGTAATAATATTTTTTAAAAGCGAATTACAAATTTACTCGTACGTTGTTTAATAAATAAATAAATAAGTTAACTATATTATAATATAATGATTATACCGATTAACATAATATTACAATAAATCAATAACACGCATTGTTAATCGTACCTATATAAAAAAAAGTACAATTAACATGTACAATGTTACTTTCTTTTAATCTTTGGTAAATATCTATACGCTAGACATAAAACTACTTAATATTATGTTTGATAAATATATATATACATATTACAATACTCAAACTATTATTATTTGTATTCATTAGTTTTGGTAATAATAATGAGTAAAACACTGAATTGACTATAACACAATAACTAGTCAGTATTATATTATGTATTATTGTATTAAATAATATGAATTAATATAATATGCGCGTTGCCCGAAAATCGTCTCCGTTCCGTTGTTATAGAAAATTGTTCAAACTGATTTTAAAAAAAATTAAGCGATTTGCAGTTTACACTTACATTATTAAATAATGAATTCGAAATTACCGAGTTGATTACTGGGATTCAAAATTAAGTATTGACGCATGATCACAAATATTCCGAAAATCATCTCTTAGCTCTACTGCACCGTATAATATTGTGTCCATTGGGTAATTTAAAATCGGCGACTTCATCTTTTATTTTGGTGTAAGTATACAGCTATATAATATAGTAGTGAAAATCAAATAGGTATAATTGATTACAATTTTACGTTTGCGTAATAATTCGTTTCTAATGTAGGTAATTTTGAAATCATTTAACCAATATATTTGTCGTTTCGTCCAAGAACTAGTTAACCGTTGCACGCAGTCATACTCAGTCGGATACGATTTGATTCTTATGATTTGATATTTTTGAAAGGTTTTACAGGCACCTACACATTACATCGATCGGTGTATGTCGAAATAAAATGTCATATTATATTGGAGTAGGCATACCTCTATACGATATCCAAGCAATGTCACCGGAATGTCGTCTTACTACTATATCGAAACAACACCGAAATAATTGTCTACAGATTTGCGGTGGATCGTTTTCAAAAAATAATGCATTTGAATGTTAGAATATACAGTGTGAACGACAAGAGCCATGTCCATAAACGGTTTTATCCTTTAACTGATTGCGTAGGAATTTAAGTTTTAATTTATGGAATAATACAAACTTTATTTTTTAAATGAGGTCTTCTCATTTTGTACGGTTGTAATGGTTAAGCAGATGACTTTCCTCATGAACAAATATTTGGGAGCATTGAAAACGAAATTAGAACGAGTGGTTTCTAAGATGTGTGAACCCAGGATAATAATATGTGCTATACAGTTTTTGCGTTTTTAATACATTATAAATGTATATTAAAGCTAATGCTCATAACTGTATAAAGCATAAAATTGATTGATATATTAAATACATTTTATAATAAATTTGTGAAAATTTCCCGAGCAACATGTACATCGGTACCCTTTACTAAACAGCACTTGGTTAATTATTTCATTAATTTTTCCAAATTTTCAGAACTTAATTTATTATGTAATATTATAATCTCATATAATTTTCTTATTTAACAATATATAATGAATATATTATTATAACAACTATGGGAAACCACTTGTTCGAATTTAATTTACGTTACGTCTAAACGTTACTGCAGAGATACATCATTGATAAAATATATGGACTATATAGAGCATATCGCTAAAGGACAGCACTTTTCGACTATATTGTATGTTAAAGAAATGAAATTATTTCGAAAACGGAAAAAATCGGAATTATTTGAATAAAGGACGACATCGGGAAGCGCACAGTCGGGGAACACGACGATATTATAATATTAATATGTATAGGTACCTATTATATTACGTTCTATACGACCGTCGGATTTTCCGAAGCCTTCCCTCGGAGCCAATCAAAAAAGGGGCTCGACCGTTTTATCGACGAGTACCGTGGTAGTGGTCGCGTTTCCTCCGGCTCGGTTCGTCTGGGGGTTGGTTGCCTATGTGGTTGTGGTCCTGCACCACGGGGGCCGCGGTCAGGTCGTCCAACTTGCTGGCCAGTCCGTAAGTCTTGACCTTTGAGTGGCCCTGTATGATGAGGTACATGGGACGGCCGGTGACCGGTGACTGTCTGTAATGCGAGAACAGCGGGTCCGTCACGGCCACCTGTGGCGTGGTCCGTGCGGTCGTGAAAGTGGCCGGTGGCGTCGTAGTCGTGGTCGTCAGTGACGGCGGCGGGGGCGGGGGCGGCGTCGACGTGGTCGTCGTCATCATCGTCGTCATCCAGACGGCTCCGGTAATGGGGGTGCCGGTCGTCGTCACCGTGGTCCGGTCAACTTCGTCGTCCAACAGGGCCTTGATGACCGCCGACTGATGGGACGACGGCGGAACGAGCCGCGTCGGCGCCCGGACCATGGTCGGCGGCGGTTGTTTGCTCTCGGCCACCGCGTTACCCGGTAAGTCCGGGGACGACGACGACGACGACGACAACGACTGTCGCTGACCATCCACGGCGGCCGGCCACTGCTGGTACGGCGGCGGAGTGAGCATCGGCAACGGGGTCCTAGGCGCGGGCGCGGCCGGGTGCATCGAGTAGTGGTAACCGGCCGCGGACACCGCCTGCAGCGTCTGCAGGTGGTGTTGCATCTGTTGCTGTTGCGCGTGGTGGTGACTGTGCGGGTGATGGTGATGAGGCTGCAGTATGATATTATTGCTGGGTGGCAGTCTTTTTATTGGTGCGTAAGACGCGGCCTGCGCCGGTTCCCTTTTGGAAAAGTCCGTCAGGAAGAACCGTCGGTTGTAACCGCCGTGGACAGCCTGCGACGGCGGCGTGGTCGGCGTGGCCGTGGACAAGGACGAGGAGTAATAGTGAGCGCGGTTACTGGCCGCCGGCGGAGATTTCCAATAGTGCACTCTGTCCAGCACCGGTGGCAGGTAGTCGAACGTCGGGTCATTCTTGAGCGGGTCGCCTCGTCCCAGTGGCGTCCACTCTTCGAAGTCCATCCTCGGCGAGATCACGTTTCGGCCGTCCGTCATCGTCATCCCGGTGGAAGGTGCTGCAACAGAGCCAAATTATAAAAAAAATTAAACAAATTTACTTATTTCTGATTAAATTTTGTTTCTATTTCTTACACCCATCATCACACGAAACACTATCATGTCGGGTCGCAAGAACAGTTTATTAATACGTTGATTGTTCGATAAGGTTTGGTGAACAATATTGTCTAGAGCCATTATTAAATCATTTTTTAGGGACAGTTAGCTATAATTATACTATTGATTCATGTGGCGTGGCCATAAGTTGTTAAGTAATAATATCACTTCGATTGTAAATACTGTTCATAAAATATATCACGGTTCCACTTTGTTAGTGATAAACATTAATTACTTAGCCAAGTCAAACTCGAGTAAAGTTTTTAGTCTATAAATTTGTCTACTCGAGCCCCTAATTACTTTTTAGTTATTATTGTGTACCGTAGTTGTTGGCCCTGGTGTATATCAGAATGGTATTGGTTTTGATATAAAAGTATTATTTTTATTGGTTTACTATTCCGAATTTCCGAACATTGATTTTTTATTTAAACAATAATATTTAATTGTTGAATCTGTATATTATGTACAACAGTGTGATGATGACTAACCGGATATTATACGATTTAACGGAATACAATTAATGATATAAAATCATTCAAGATTGTACCATTTATTAATTCATAAATTTAATGAATTACCAATTAACTGCATCGTTAAAGATTTTTTTTAGAAACAATTCAACTTGACTATAATAAAGGGGTATACTATTTTGACTCTCAAATAGTCAAAAGTAAATAATGCAATTTAATAAAAGTAGAATATTATTTAGTCATAATCTAAAGGAAATTATTTTCGTGACAAGAGAAACTTAATTGTATTTTTTTTTTCAAATTAATTTACCCAACAGTGATTATAATACTATTATACACCAATTAGAATAATACGTGTGAAATATTATAATAACTTATTATTAATAAGTCTGTAAAAGTATTTTTATAATGGAGTAGCATAAATTATTTCCTATTTTATGCCGGCAACGCTTAAAATCCTTTGAAATAGATATAGTAGTGTAAATTAATATTATATGAACAAGATCCAAAACCAAAGTTACTAATTTTACAATATTTATTATTAGAACCACCTCACGTAAATAATAAAGGATAATATTGTTCTATATAACTGATGTATTTTGATAACAATAATTATTTATTTTTCGGGATCATAAAATAGTCTAACTTGGAATACCTATATTATATTTTTTCAGCAACATAAAACTGTAAACATAAAACTGTAAAATAAAATGGTGGGTAGTTAATAAACATTTATTACAAGCAAATGGGAAGGTAATCTTATAAATCCCAAGTTTAATGCTACACACTATACAGGTTTAAATGAATAATAAAAAAAAATTTAATTAAGTTGGCGTGATCTTGTTTCCAAGAACGCAGTATTTTTTTCCGAAATATATGGTGCCCGGATAATAAATTTGTGTTGAATTTTGTTCACGTTTATTTTCAATCGTCTTCGTCATAGGGCCAACGATTGTCGACATGGGTGTGACTTCACTTCAGACTTCACTTCAGTCGCGGTGCTGTTCTCAGTGGGAAAACAATTGTGAGGTGGGTCGATAGTTTTCGAACAACCGCGACAGTTGATAAAATAAAAAACCAAATGGTCCCAAACGTACTGTAACAAATTTCTGAGTACACGGAGAGGGTAAGTCTGAATTCAAGCTGCACCTTAACTATACCGATTCATTGTTTTTCACAAACACACGGTGAAAGGCACTCCACTACGCCATAGTGACAACGAAAAGGCATCATCTGAAGGACCGAATTAGCTTACCATCCTACTCACATCCAACGTTGAGACCAGTGTCGGCCTGGCCATGGCCGCTAGGCCGCAAACGCGTCCGGGGCCCTCGGCCGTATTTGAGTTCGGGGGCCCCCGCCCCCGACCGTACTCAGAAATATAAATAAGTGTTCAGATGAAGTTAGAATTATAACACCTTACACAAAATTTAAGTCAAATGCTTATTCTATTATAGATACTAGATTCTTAATAGCATAAAATCACGATTTGTACCTAATGAAATGTTATTAAAAGATTTAAATTGGCTGGATCCTAAAACATTTGCTTTTATTAATGAACTTGAACAATTTGCCAAGGACTCGTTGAACACAATATGTACCTAAACTAGCAGATTTAGACAAAGAGATCATTGCAATTGAGCTAAAACAGTTTGCTTGTCAGTATAGTAATTTCATACCAGATGTATCTGAAAATGATTTTCACGATATTAAATCTAAATCTTCTAAAATTATATATATTGATGAAGATGAAGATATTGAAGTTAAACCCACCGAACAAATTAATTGTGACAAATGCACTAAATGTCTTCACTTTGCATTGATTTTGCTCCAAGAGCTGTCATGTCAATCTAATTTATTTTGTAATTTGTTCACATTATATAAATTTGTGTTGCTATTACCATCAACACAGACTACCTGTGAAAGAGTATTTTCAAAGCTGAAAATAATCAAAACTAAACTTCGGTCTTCTTTACCCCAAGAACATCTTAATCCATTAATGCTAATATCCATTGAAAAGGATATTTTGATTGACTCAGATGAGTTGATTGATAGGTACGATTGCTAACTCATCTAGTGAACTAAAAAAATTACTGATATAAAGAAAACCAAATGCACAATTAATTTTGAATTTGAATCACATTAAAAAAATATTAAGTTGTATAATGTGAGAAGGTATTATTTATATTATGTAATATGTAAAAAATTGTTTAGAATAATAAATTATTAATCTAACTTAAATCTTAACTTAATGGATGGTTAATTTTATATATGGTACCTTTAAAAAATTATAATATTTTACACTACCTACTTATAAGTACATTTTTAATAATTTTATGAAAAAACATTTTTGGGGGCCCTTCTGAAGAAATGCATCCGGGGCCCTTTAGGTACCAGGCCGACACTGGTTGAGACGGCTATTTTTGTCCTCATTCCGTGGCCCACCCTGTATATACGATAATTTTACCCCATATATGGTCATTTTATAGTCTGTAGACAACGATGAAAAATTGTCATCAATCTAGTTTAATTAAATAAATAAAATGTTACCTATACATAGTCGTGAGAATGAAATGTGGCCACTGATGTGCCTTTTGTGATGGTCTCGCAGAGCGCGAATTTTTTTTGCATATTTTACCATGAATTTTAAGAGAATATTATTCAGGTCTCTAAATATAACGAAGTATATAAATTTAATTTGAGGCTGAAGAAGTTTTAGTTGTGATTTTCCCAGACGGTTTCGTTGCAGACCGCATCATATAAATAATAATATCCCACACCTTGGACATATTACATCGATGCGTCTATAAATACATTTTTTAAGAACAAAATTTCGTTTTCTAAATATTAACGAACTGATACTGTAGTCTCTCGGAATAAATAGTTTAGCGACCATTATATTTTATATGCTTCGGCCATATAGAGATGACGAAAATACGATTTTTATTTTTTCCATCAACACGCCCATTTTAAGTCGCATACGACGTATATATACCGTATTATATATTATATTATATGGTTTAAGTTTACGATTTTCTATATATGTACACGTGCAGTTTGTGTGCGTGAGAACGTTTTCGGTCAAGTTGTAACCTATATATATTACCGGCTGCGTAATATACATAGGTACTGTTTTAGGTATATACACTGTAGGTATATATATATATATATACATGGGTATTGTATATTATACTATATATACACTGCAGGTATATATACATAGGTACTGTATTAAAATATGTATATATATAAATAAGTGTAGGTAGGTATACTATTGGGACTAGTTTCCCGTCGTTTCCGCCGGCTCGCCACAAATTAGTGATCCCGCCGTACGCCCATTAGGTGGTCCGCAATCGCTGCCGCCAAAATTTTTTTTTAAAAAAAAAACCCGACCGCGCCTCGGGGGCCGCAACCGCGCTATACCTCTGTACCCGGTATATATACCACTTATACCTGCAGCCGCCGCCGCCGTCTCTCGGTCATATAATACGACGCACGTCGTATTATAGTGCACTCGGGTAAAAAAAAATAATAATAATAAACTTATATTTCTTTTGACCGATCGCAAACCGATTCGCTTTTAATATCATTATAAGGTACGGCTGCTCGTCGTGTATAAAGTGCACGTGCCGCGAGTGTGTGTGTGTGTGTGTGTGTGTGTGTGTGTGTGTGTGGCGCATATATTGTTTGTAGTACTTGCTCGTTTTTTACCGTTTGCAGATTGCCGAGAAACACGGGAAAGACGATTATTATTTTTTTTTTTTACCATCTGTAGGTTAGCCTTACCTATGTATACCTCGAGGCGAATTGTTTTCGGTTATGTCCAACTCAGCTATATATATATATTATATATTTAATAATAATAATATTATGCGTGCGTTACGAACGACTCCCACATAATCGGGTGGCCACATTCGACAGTCTTTAATAATCGGTTTTTCATTTTGTCCAGCTGGTTCGCTGTCCACGCCGCACTAAACAATCACACGAAGTCTTTTTGTTTTTAACACAATAATTCGTTAATCCGAGTCTATATTATAGCATAATATAAACACTATTAGGCATTATTATATTATTGTATGGGCACTGTCGTTTGACCGAAAACAGATAGAATTCGTTAGTCAAAATATCCTATCGGATAGTACCTATCTATTATGGGTACGTATGCATACCTCCTAGCTAAACTAATTATCGAATATGAAAATATTTTGGGATTAATTATGGTGGTTATACTTATAATTATTGGTTTGGTAAATATGTCAGTTATTTATGAGTTACAAATTATACACGCGAAATATGTATGAAATATATATATATATATAACATATAACTAATATAAAATAATATATATAGGTATAAAAATATAAAACATAAAAAGTATATTAAATAGAGAGTTTGTTAACATTTGTATTTCCTTATTACTTTTAACAATATAAAAAATATATACTATTATTGTCTTAGCATTTCAAAACCATTCCTCATGAGTTTGTGACCAACATAATTATGGCACCTACTTGAATTATTTAGATATAGTTTCGTAGAAAAATACCATGACGTTTATAACAATATTTTAATCAAGTCACAAGTTAGTAGTTACATAGATTAAATATAGTAGTAATATATTAGTATATTTAATCTATGTTAGTTACAACTAGTCGTATTTAAACATTTTAAACTTTAACATAAAATATTATAGGTCTATTCCTGCTAGTCTATAAATTACTGCAGGTATCCATTTTTGTATGTAACCAATGACAATTTGATTATTATATGGATGAATGATTGTAATAAACAGAAACCCACCCAATACAGTGTTAAATATAAATTATAATAAAATATAATATAAGGCACTTTGCTCTATTACCTATATAAATTTACAACTATTACTCTGAAATCCTTAAGATTTAAAATTATTCAATCCGAAGGTTCATTCTAAAATTATTATTACTGTTTCATTTATAATTCATATAGGTAAATAATATAATATTATATTATAATATACCTAATATTTTGTTTTAACAAAAATAACATATTTTAATAATTTTATTGAAATTAAAAATGTGATGTACAGCGCCGGCGGAAGGGCAGGGCAGAAGGGGCATCTGCCCAGGGCCCCGCCATTTTGGGGCCCCGCGCCTGCATGTATGGTATTTGATAATTTGTAAGACCACAATTTTGTTTTTCAATTTAAAAATACAAGTCTCGGCTGGCCGTCTGCAGTTGCAGCTTGTGGGTTTTTCATATAATAAACGAGTGAGAGTAAAAATAAATTAGGTATTAAAAAAAAACCGACGTGTTAGTAGAAGTTAATACAATAAGCAAAAATCTTCAGAGCCCGAACATGGATTTAGATATTTCAGCTATTATATTAAATGGGCTACTCTCATTTTTAAATGACTATAGAAATACTGGATTTAAATCTGCAAAAACAACTGCTAAAGATTTGGCAGAGGCTAAAGGAGTTTCTGCTGATTTTAAAAAAATCCGTATACGAAATAAAAAAAAAACGTTTTCGTATGAAACTAAGATGAACCATCTAAAAATGAGGAAACTATTTTTTATCAAGATTATTTTTTAACTATTGTTGATCAAGCTATCGTTTCTATGAATATGAGATTTTCACAGCTTGAATCGTTTAATAATAACTTTGGTTTTTTATATCGGATTAGCAAAATAAAATTCATGGAAAAAGAAGAGTTAAGAAAATGTTGCCATGATCTACAAAACGGTCTAACTGATGGTGAATTAAAAGATATAGATGGTTATGAACTGTATGAAGAATTACTTATTTTTTGTACTATAATTTCTGAAGAAACGACAGCTTTTCAAGCTCTTTCAATACTAAAAAAATGTTGTGGTTCTTTTCCAAATATTTCGATAGCACTCCGAATAATACTCTCAATTCCTGTAACATCAGCTGGTGCGGAAAGGAGTTTTTCCAAATTGAAAATAATTAAAAACTATTTAAGGAGTACTTTATCATAGTGTAAACTTACAAGCTTAGCTACTCTATCGATTGAACAACAAATTACCGACTCTTTAGATTTTAGTGAGCTGATTGCAATTTTTGCTGCAGCCAAAGCTAGAAAAAAACAATTTTGAAATTTTAAAATCTTGAGTTTTTTTTTAATTTTTGTGTAAAACTTGTATTTAGTGTACTTTAGTGCAGTTCACATAAACATTTAACTTGTACATATTTTATTTTTATATGAAAAATGTATCCAATAAATTAGGTGTATAAGCAAAATAATATTTGTAGCTTTATGTTTTAACTGTTTTAAGAAATAAATACATATTTACAAGTGAACGTTTTATACAATATTTAAATGAGTACATGAAAAAAAAAATATGTATAGGTAAGTTATGTAAAACTGATAAAAATTTCATACAAGTACTGAAGCGTACCTATAAGTAATAGGACTTGCGAAAATTTTTTTTTTACATTACATTAGGCTAGGGTCCATCAAAATAATCTGCCCCGGGCCCCGCAAAACCTCCCGCCGGCGCTGGTGATGTACAATACATATTCTAATGATTTGATAGAAATTAAAAATGCTGTGGACAAATCAGGTACCAAAGTTGCTAATTAGATACACACAGTTAGAATAACAGATTATTATTAACATTGAATTAAAATTTCAAGATAAAACGCCTAATACAATAACATGTAAGAACACAATATTATGTACAACTACACGACTATTGGATATTAATAATAGTACCATGGTCCCAATGCGTTTTGCTGAAATTCAAATAATAGCTTTCATCCCAAAAATGTGTACAAAACAATAAATACGTAGATACAATAAAAGACAAATCAAATATGACATGCAATCAAAACAATAAATTACAAACAAAATATGTTTTAGGCTAGGGATTTTCACTGTGAGAGTACAAAGAATATCGTTTTTAAAACACTGATTAAAAAATATATCACACTGTAGTAGTGCAGTATGACATGAATAATTAGTATAAAAATATTAAAATCTGTGAGTGTGTCAAGTGTCAACCCCACAAGCCAGGGTTCGTATTGCTTCAGTTCTGCCTCGGGATAAAAAATGGGTGGGTACGGATCTGGTCATATATATACACTTTATATAGTACAGTGGTTGTAATAATAAATACACAATACAGTTCAATGTTTGAAAATTATCAGCACTCCAAGAGTTCAAAAAACATTTCGTCTGAAACAAAAACCATAAAAACTCGCCGTCGTCAGAAATAAAATAAATATTGATATTATTATTTCAAACAAATTGCCGAATGACTATTGATATAGGTAGCAAAAAGTAAAATCCGAATTCCTGATTTCAGTTTCTATTCAGAGCTTATTTGTCTTATAATCAATTCTTGTGATCTGTCCAGAATTTAAATTGGATATGATTGTGTGCACTTATAGTTGCTAAGGTGTTAGGAATACAAATTTGAGAGGACATAAATAATTTGCTTTCACTTCCACTAAACATGTATAAAGCAAGTCACATAATATATTTTGCTGATTTTATATCATGATATTGGTATTTACTACTATAGTACTTTACTATACACTCAGATGCGATGGATTTAGATTTTTATTTTTCAAAAATTTAACCCATTATAGTTTGGACTTATTTTGGGCATATTTTTTTCATTTTAAAAGTATAATACAGAAAATAATTTCATTATTAATATATAATTAATTTATATAATACAATTTACTATTTGGAATAGTGTTAATGTAGGTACCTACCTATGTAATTTATTCAAACCATTTAAATTATATTGTTTTGTTTATTTTTAGTTTATGATAGTAATTATTTTCTAAGATCACTTATTCCAGCAGGCACATAAAGAAGAACCACTAATTCAATCAGATACAATCAGAAAAAAAAATCTTTTGCGATCTATTAAAATCATTGAGAAAAATTGACAAATAAAAATAGTGAATTTCTATGTTAATTTGTTTTCACTATAATAAATTAGATTATAATACTTTAGATTACACAGTATGTTTGGTATATGTAGGATGAACGTATAATACACAGTGGTTAAACCATTTATACATCATAGAATTAATGTAATTATTCATATAATATATTGATTGATCAATTGTTTTATTATTTTCATTGATTTTAAATACTTAGGTGTTTTTAACCATGTGATATTATCGTGTTTTAATTTTTTTGACTTGACATTTTTACAGACTAAATAAAAAAATTAATTCCTATAAACTTGGTCCTCGAAATACTTTCCATAAAATCGATCTCAAGTCATCGTCGATCTCAAGGTCCTCCTATATTACGTCCGACCACCATAAGTACCATGGTTCATGAGATCCCTTCATTTCAGAATATTGTATCACCACACAGCAGCAGCCAGGATACGAGGAGAAAACTCAGAACGCGTTAAACGTATTGACAGTGAAAATAACTAACGGTTAACAATTATAATTTTATTGTATATTATGTACCTACTTAAATCGGAGTGAAAATAAAATATTAAGTTTAATTGACAAATGAGTGTTTGATTGAACGTGACGATTATATTATATTAAGTATAGTGACAATGTGTGGATCGACAACGAACAATGCAATATTAATACATACGATCGTAATCATTATAATTCGTATTGAAGCGTTTGTGTGTGTGCTCTTAGAAGATCTTTTTTGATTTGTTGAATGTGTGTGTTATAATAGGCATTACTGTATTAGGTCTATATGAGTCGGCGTGTGCTCTAGCTTTTCGGTGAGAAAAAAACCAACTGCGCAATAAACACGACAGCTTATAGGAGTAAAATCTATGGGGAGGGGGGTATAAAAATACAATATGCTTACCCAAAATGTGTTAAACCTATCTGAAATAAAAATAAACTCTCGCGAATGAGGTGGTGGGCAAATAATGCACCTGTAACCCTTTCCTTCCACTTCAGCTGCGCACCTGTATGATATATCAATAATATGAATATATAATACTAAAAATATAAACTCTATTATAATATTGTATTATTACTATTTTATTATTATTGTCGAACACGCTGTGCATTTTCCCACTTGTGAGGTCTCTCTCCTCCGGGGATTTCATTCATCTCGCCGACACTCCGACTCTCCTCCGCCGCATCAAACACTCGCGCGCACGCCACAATCGTAAATAGGTATACCTAATACAATATTATAATGGCCAATAGGTAGGTTCCTATATATATATGTGCTTACGAAATAATATATCAAACAAATCCAGTAATGATAATTTACATATTATAATAATAATATGTACATACACCTATACATTATTATTATATTATATATAAATATATACGCTTGCGCGGTCTAGACTCGGCTCGAAGGACCTATCAATTACAGATATCCGCGCCACTATCCGATTTCTAGTTTACGACCTATAGGCCACACGGACCACTTGCAGCACACACATAATATAACACGTAAGATACATCGCAAAACACGTGGGATTTCCTATGTATATTATAATAATATATACTCCCACAATTATATTATTTTGTTCGATTTGATAGGTATTATATTCCTTGCGAGGGGCAGGACATTTATTGCAAGGGCTGAGTTATTTTCGGTCGACTTGCGAAAAATGCACTGATTTACCATTACAGGACTATATATTATATTATAATATACACGCGCGACGCGCCATATTCAGAAGAAACAATAATTACAAAAACATAGAATATTTCATTTCTGTAAAAACGTACCTATTATTATTATTATTTTTTTACTTCTGAAACAAGACGTTTCATGAGGTTTATTCACATACGGTTGTCCAATATGTAGTGAGCTGCGGTGTTGGGGAGTAACTTAAGTTACTATAACGTAATAATAATTACATTTTTAGTTATTTGATGGTAGTATAATTTAATTATATTGTATTTCGACCCATTTATACGTATTTCAAGTCACTAAATTACCCGTTGCTTACTTTTAGATTCTGAGAGGAGCGATGAAGCTCTATAGAGTGGTTTTACAATGGTGTTTATTTTTTCATCCTATATATCTCGATATTACAATTTTACATTAATTACAATCCTGCAGTATCCACATTTTATTACAACCATCGACAGGTGTCCGATGCGCATTTCCTCCGAGCAGTGTCCGTGCGCGACTTTATATTTACCGCATAGGTACAATATCGATGTCATAACAGCTGTTTACCTCTAATAACACAATAATATAATTTATGCGATTGGTATGTATACGAGTACCACCGATTTGTGTGCTAATATATTTTAATCGAACGCGCACCCGTATAATACAATAATATATCATAATATATATAGCTATATAGCAACACGGCCATTTTCCGGTGTGCGTCGGGTCTGTCCGCAGACGTACGCGTGTAATGGCCGAGCGAAATCATTCACCGGACGTGTGTGCGAGTCCGTTCGCACGCGCAGTGAAAGTTGTCAAAGAAGCCGCCCGTGACCCACCACCGATGGTCATTTACCGCCGTAAAGTAGGTAGTTATCGCGGCGGCGGCGGCGGTCAATATTGGCTGTACGCGCGTTTCACGAGCGTAAACGATATTTTTACTATAATACCTAATGCCCGTGATAGGGGTCCGCAGAAAATTGGCTTGGGGGGGGGTGGGGGCCGAGGGCGAGTTTTAACAATACACAAAATATTGTATTATATTTTGTTCCCGGACGGAATTTTTTACAACTGTAACGTCCTTTTATTATTTCGTACGCACTTTCAATTTGTCGTGTTCCAGTAATTTATCGTATTTATTATGGCATACCATAGATTCGAAATAAATTTCTTAAATATTACGCGGGCAAATGTCCCGACTTGCCCCTCCTCCCACTCTGCAGGACGCCGTGTACCTAAATTAATACCTACACTATAATAATAATATCGTCGGCTAAGACGCTATACCTCGTATGTCAGAAAAAAAAACGTATCATGACTTTTATACATCAAAATAAACACATGAATTAGAGAAAATAACACAAAAACCCAAGGAGAATATAAATGTTGAACAATTGTCAAGCGTGCGTCTAATCTCTATCGGTTTTATAAGTTTCCTGACAAAAAAAAACACTTTTTGGATATACGAGGTATTGCGTCTTAGCCGACGATATGCTATATATAATAGGCATACCACGATTAGCTGATATATCACTATATTCTCCGCAGACGAGTCACGTCGGAGTATAATAATTAAGACGTATGATATAGTACTTGCCTATAATTTTGGAAAAGTTATCTGAATCGTCTTCCGTGACTTGGGTTAGAGCCTGCAGCATAGTATAATAATTATTATACTCGACAGTAAATTGATCCGTCTTCAACCGAGGTGCAGGTATATACTGCTGCAACCATTCAGAATGTCGACCGAATAACTCAAGAATTTTTTTTTTCAGATATCGATTATAAGTATAATATAAACCAATCGCTATAATGTTTACGATCATTGATTGTATGAGTGAGTATTTGCTCTTTTTCTCCTTAATTATTGTCACTTTTTTTTTTTTTATTAAGAATTGATTCTTATCGACTTAATTATATAATTATTATTGTTTAATTACTACGGGTAGCTTTGCACACGGTTTGCTTGCACTCTTTCTAGGCCGTCTTACGAGTACTTATATTTATTTTTTTTTTTCAAAGAATTCAACAAACTGTGTATTATAGGATATAATATATAAGAAAAATTAACGGTTTATTATGTTTGCATTTAATATTTACATTTAACATGGTGGGCAACATCCATTAATATAATAGCATCTCGTATACCTAGTTGGTTGCTGTTAGTTTTGGTTTGACGGATGGTCTCTAGGCAGCAAGTTTCCTTACAATTCAACGAAAAATTAATATTTTTTTTTTCATTAACTATTATGGTATTTTTACAAACAAATAAAGTAGTAATCAACTGGTAATAATGTAATGTTAGTATGTGACCAACTAAAATTATACAACTTTATCGAACACATAATATAAAGTATAATATTTATATTAAAATATATATTATGCATCTATTTGGTATTTATACAACCGTGAATAAAAACATTAATAAAACAACTTACTAACTATATAATTCAAACATTAAAAGTTATTTGATTGATTGTATCTTGGATTTCCCAAAAACTGACGTATAACTTATATGTAATATAACTTAACCTGAGCAATACCTTTAATTTAAAAATTATTGTTATAATAGTACTAATTGCTGTTAATCATTTTAATAAATAATCAAAGTATTTCTGATTTCAAATAAATCGCAATTTACATAGCCGATCAATGTTAATAAACCGTTTTTCTATAGGTCTATTAGTATGTTTAAGTATTATAATATTTATTTCTATTAGAGTTGTGTATTTCATAATACCTATCTATAACGTACCTGAGTATCGATCAATCATTGCCAAGTAAAGGGTCTCAACTCTCAAATATCCCACAGTTATGCCAAATCTTAAATTGTATTGTTTATTTTCTAATCAATATGAATGTTTATAGATTACCAATATAAAAAAAAAAAAAATACTAATTAACTTTAATTATGTTGTTCGACAAGTTTCAATTTTCATTAATAAATTCTTGGTTTGACGATTCAGTTTTATAGAGTGGTCATCGATCTTTCACTTTCCTTATGCACACGATTATGTACAGTTATTGAAATAATTCAGAGTAACTTTATTATAGAGTTTTAAATGCTAAGAGCATAATAATATTCGAATAGGCACTAAAATAATTTCACCATGTTAATATAGTGTAATTAAAAATATTAGTTAACATTTGGTTAATTTTATTCTCATAATTTACAATATGATAAAGCTTAGTTCTACATTGTTTTCTTAACTACCTACTATAGTTCCTATGAAGTACGTCATACATAACATATTACCTAATATTTTCGATTATTAAATATCCTCAATATGAGGATACCTTAATAAATCCAAATCTCGTCAATTAAACTATTGTCTATTTCTATTATTTTTCTTATACTTCGAGTGTCTCGATTACCTATATTATAATTTATAGTAATAGATAGGTACTTACCACTTATACATTATTTTAAGAGCCAACGATTTATCTAAATAGCATACTGCTATTATAAAATAATTGATATTCTAAAGTGCGTATCATTAGTTGTAGTTGTACGGATGTATAATTTTATAATAGGCACATAAATATTTCTCACTGAAAATATATATCTGAAAATAATAAATATTATATCCGAAAATAATCGAATGTAATTTATTTTAAATAATAATTATATTAATTCTTAATTTTTAAATTTTGTAGATGAATTATTACGTTTTGATTATAAATATTTTTTCTCAAGCTATGAAAAATATTAATTTGATATGGTTAAATCTCTGTGTCTATTCGCATTCATGTGGTTGTTTGTTGTATTAAATTACTAAAAAAATACTAAGCTCAATGCCAAGCAATAGGTATTTGGTAAAAATCAATAAATATTGTTATCTATGCAATACGTAAGTTGTAATTCAACGTAATAATTGAACTTTGAAGCACTTATTGAAGCAACTTCATTACATTTTAAACTCTATTAGGTACCTACCTACTCTATGACTTATGCCTAATGTATTACATAAATTAAGAGTAATTTTGAAAGGGAGACTTCTTTATATTGTTTTTATAAATAATATCGTAATATGTCTCCATAATTTATCTTTTATTTTTCAGAGATATTATTAATGCAGGTATGGTATTCAATTTATAAATAGTGTTTTATGTTCACTTTAAAAATAAAAAATAAAAAATGATAAACTACTTAAATAATAATAATTATCATCGAGTAAAAGTAAAAAATAAATAGGTCTAAACTTTATTACACGGAAGGTTAGAACTTAAAATGAAATAATAATGTATAACATAAAATTTGATAAACTTTTACATTTAATATTCTTCGTGAATCGAAATTCAGGCCAGTGTATTTGTTTTTAGTGAAATCAAGTTTGAAATTCGCAATAAAATTATTAAAGACGGTCAAGTCGGCGAACCTGAAGGTTCATTAAAAATTTAATTTCATCTGTGGTCAGACATTTTCTTTCAACCACAAATTCGTATACCCATAGTATGAGATTAAGTATGTTTTCGATGAGATATCTAATCAACATTAGTACATTACCCCGTATTCGTACTTATCTTCTATATAATTTCTAAAAACGATTCTATTTTTTTTCCAAATATTTTTTTATAAGCAATAAATGAACAAATCTATAATTCAATTTCGATTTAAAAATAATTTTCTATGTCATCGATACTATTCAAATATAATAATATGATCAATGATCGTTATGATTGAAATAATAACAATTAATGAACTGCATGGGAACTGATAATTTCCACAATTTTAAACATTCTACGAAGTATAGGTAGATTATAACATGATATTTAATTTAGAAAATATATTCGTGTCGTGATAAATTTTAACAAAATTTACTACTAGTTGACATTACAACACTAACCGTCGAACCGGTTTTATGAAAATGTTAAGCAGTATCATTATAATTTATATAATAATAAAATACTTGAGATAGTCATAATTTTCCACATATCTACAGTTAAAACTTTAATCGTTTGTTCCGACAGTTTTTATATTCTTTAACAACTAAATCTGACCATTAATACATGCTAGGTACACGTAGTATTCATCTTTTGCCTCACAAATTCTATAGTTTATTATCCATATGGGTAATAGTTAAAACGGTACCATTATCGTAAATTTTCAGTAAATAACGCGTAGAACCTTTTTATTTGAATGCACGACAGCGGTTTATATGTCTTGTCGTAAATCCATAATAATACAGTCGATGCAGTTTTCAAAATATAAAAACAACAAGACGTAGACAAATCCATACGCTTATTCGTTCGACACTCTGTGTATAATTTACAACGAGAAATAATTCCAAGTACAATTATAAATAGGTATAGAGGCACTCACCGGTGTCCTTATGAGTCCACGGGGCTTGACTTTCGGGTGCAGCTTCAGCAGCACCAAAGGCGACGATCTTCAACACGATCACGCCAACTAATAAGCACCTCATTTTGGCCATCGTCGCCGACGAATTCGATGTGACCATATTATGACGTATTACAATACCTATTGTACTTGTAATATTATAACGTCTGCGGCGACTGCAACGACGACGGAGTGTACAATGATATTGTAAACAATACGATTTATAGTGAGTTAAAATAACAGAAAAATGTTTGACGACAAAACGGATTCCGAATATTATTACAATGTATTATAGGTGTGTGTTGCCCGCGACGGATATCATTACTATTGTTTTCGGAGGATCAAAATAATATAATATTCACGCGTCTTGCGGAGGATTGTTGTCGTGCGGGGCGCCGTGCTGCCACGATAGGAGGTTGTTTGCCGGCATTTTCGATTTTTTCGCGCGCGAACACACACACGCACACCTCTACTGAGCCACTTATTGCCGGGCAATGATGATGAATAATGCTTTCGGACCCGACGAGTATCGGTCTCGAGCGCGCGAGCCACGACGGGGGGGTAAAGCTCCGAGACACGACGTCGTCTGCGGGGGGAACCTGTTGTTGGCTGGGTGGTGGTGGTGGTGATGTTTTCGGTGGTGACGGCGGTGGGGTGGGAGGAGGATCCATATTTTCCCGGGAGAGGGGGAAAGTCGACGGATTTGTGAATGAAATTGAACGTTCGACCGGTTACGACGGGCGGAGGACTCTCTTTCTCCTCCGCGCGTTTCCTGCAGTGCGGCGCACACTCCGTGTCTGTCTTGCCGTTCGTCTAAGTCTCTTTCTCTCTCTCTCTCACTCTCTCTCACTCTCTCACTCGCGTTCCATCTCTCTCATTCACTCAATCATTCTGCTGGACTGGTTTTGCAATATACACGCGTCGTCGTGTAGTGTTTTTTTTTTTTTTATAGAAATTGAAATCGTTACCGGTAGATACGATACTTACTCGCCTCTCCTCTTCTCTATATGACGAAGATAATACGCACGCCAAACGTAGGTATATACCCGGTATGTGGTGATGTATACGCGAACGAGTGTGTGCTGTAGGTAGGTATATGTGCATATGAATCTGCAGTCGGTCGGCTCGTGACCTCTGCCCGATACTAAAACGGATATTGTTGGAAAGCAGAAACGTTTTTTATTTTATTTTTTATTTCGTTTTTCAATAAATGATCCACGGCGAGTATCGTTTATATTATAAATTGTACATATAAAACTATCGATAACACGATAATATTGTTTTTATCTTTATATTGTAAATTTTTTTTTGACGTTAAAAATATAGGTAATGTTAATGAGGTTATATAATATTCGAAGTGACGTTTTCTCGTAATCTTTACAGATATGCAGCTAGAATGAGTTAATAATATTATGTATGCCAGTTAACTTTAACGATAACTTTGAGTTCTTGGATTTAGTACTTACTAGGAAGGAAAATGTTTCACTCTTGATGGACATATATAAAATAATACATTTCTATGTATATTTTACAGCAACCTCTCAACACTAATGCAACAATTTCTTGACAAAATAACAAAACCCCTCTCTAGAGGTCCATACTTTTCGGCTTTGATCCCTGTTCTGGCTCAAAAATGAATTTATTCATTTTTCAACTTTAAATTTTAGACTTTTCCCCAAAATGTGTAATCATCTAAGTAAATTAAAAGAAAACCATCATTTGATATCACTTATCATTTGATCTATATTTTAATTGTATTTGGTCCAATACAAATAATAAATCAATTACCTTTATAACTTTAGATATAAATGACTATTTTACTGTTATTATTACAGTATGTTCTACATTGTTCACAAAATGTAACATACAAATATATAGTTGGGCTCTTATGAAATTAATGATCAAGGCATATCACAACGAATGAACGCACCACATTTTCAAATTATATTGACTAAAAAACCTATTTTGTAGTATATATTTTTGACCGTCAATCATTTTGACAGTAATCAAATAAAAATGAAACCATCTGTTGTCAAACTTGAAAGTCGTAGGTAGTTAAATTTATTTTATAAAAAAAATATATAGGTATATTGTGCGTATAAGTTATACTCTACTGGTCAGAATATGATGGGTAATGTGTATTATAGGTACATTTATAGTTGAAAATATTTGACTTAATGTCCGATCTTAACGACTGGCCTATAATAAATAGTATTTTAACCAGCTGAACTGGTTCAAGTGCATGTAGAAAAGATATCGGAAGGTACAACTTTAAATTATTTCATATCTATTGCACTTATTGTGATGATCTAAATTACAAATATGTACCTACACGTGTGACGTACACATACAATTTTTAAGCTTTAGAAAATCAAAACCCTAAAATGTATCTATTTCATAACCAAACAACTGTAAAGTGTGAAATGGATCATTATTTGTTTATTAAACTGTCATCAAAGATGTCAGAATAAAAATAATGATATGTCAATAAGTGGTTGAGTGTTTTTCCCCTGTATTTTAATGAGGCATGACCTCAAAAAACCTGATATTTCGTATCGTACTTTTTTCCGTTACATTCCAATAAAAGAATTGAAACTATTTATTTTACAAGTTTTGAGAACGAAGATTTTCATAATCTATAAATGTTTGTAATACCTATTATAAGATTATTGATTCCGAGTAAAGCGAAGGTTCTGCTGTTACAATGGTGTGTGGCTGGTTTTATTTATTTATTTTTGTTACACATTTTTGAATATCGTAGAAAAGTAAACATATTTATTACAAATGTTAGTAATGAATAATGGCAGAAAAGTCATCGTCAAAAGTCCGCCCTTTGGTGGATATCATTTATTCATTTTACCTATTTATATTTCTTAATCTTCGATCTATTAGGTTAGACTAACAGCTCTGCAAAGAATAATAAAGAACTGAGCGAGCGCATAGGGTGCTTGTTATATATTTATATAAGTACCTACTTACCATAAATAATAATAAAAAAAACTACAAGTCTAAACCTATTTAGAGTAAGTAAGCATGCTAATGGATATTTTTCCTCGGCAATAAAAATTTAGGAATCATAGATATGTTTTTATATTGTTGATTTGCGTTTATATAAAATCAAAGGTCTATGCAAAATTGAAAAAAAGTCGTATCCAGCCCAAAACCATATATCTATATTAAAATAATAAAATTCAATATTTAATAGAAACTTTTTATCTCTTAAAACTTATTCAAATTTGAGGTTCTGATTTCATTTTGTGAGTTTTCGACTAAAATCGTTAACAGTATTTTAAATGTTTCAATTAATTTAAAATATATAACTTTTTTTTATGTTAACAACTCAAAAGTAAATGATTGTAATTGATACTTACTTATTACCGATAATATAATCTTTGAATGTAAATTTACGTAGGTGTATGTTTTTAAGAATATTTTTTTATGATATAAAATTATTGTATAACTTTATGAAATGATCGGAATTAATAAGAATAGGTAATAATTTGACTCTAATACTTTATTTTTTAACATGATCTAAAAATCCACATACTATATGAAATGTATTTATTGTATAATTTATACTCATGAGGTTAAAGCATTTCATAAAAAATATTGTTTCTCGAAATACGTTTAAACGTCAAAAACTTACGATGGTCACATTTAAACTAAAACCATATTATATACGTTATCAGGTTAGGATCAGACCGATCAATTAATAAACATATACATTCGCTAGCACGTAATTGTTTTAAAAGCGTAGATAAAAGTTCTAATATACTACGGAGTAATAGTGGGTATATAGGTAGTCAATGAAAAAACTGGAACACTACACCAAGACATTTTTCTCGTTCCAATAAGGATGCTTCGCGATAAGAGCGTAATAGATAACAACTTATACAGGTGTTTTTTTTTCTTTTAACGCGACGGATAAGTTTTAGTAAGCCACGCAAAACATAAAACAATAATCGGACACGAGACCGAAACGAGTAGGGGCCTTATATATATATATATATACACACACATTATGTATAATATACAACTATGGATATTTTAACAGCTCGATCGCGTGACCCCGATGACCGGATAATCGTAGAGCACTGAAATGTATCCAAAAACATTATAACGATTATTACGACTGCCGACAGGATTTGAGCGAGAAAGCATAACGGCTGAAAAATCGTATTGGTAAACGAAACCGAATGTTCGCGCGGAGAGAAAGTGGTGGGCGCGCGCACGGGGTCCAGTGGCGGCGTCCCTACGGCTCTCGCGGAGTACAACCGCAGCAGCACCGACTGCAGAAGCAGTGGCGGCAGTGGCGGCAGCAGCAGCAGATGATCCACATGCTAATTGTAACACGATTGAGGCAGAGGAAAAAAAAAAAAACACATTTGGACTTGCGAGCAACGAAACTTGTCAAACTGCATTTCTGAATATAATACGACCGAAATTTTAGCGATTCCCCCGCGGGTCCTCTATAGATGTATATAATATATAATAATATAATATAATACAATATATAACTATATAAGTTTACTAGACTAATAAATATTTTTCTAGACACTCCTAAATATGTACGCTAAACTACAATTAGTATATACGATGAAAGTATAACCGAAAATATATAATCACTATGTGTGTGTGTGTGTGTGTGTGTGTGTGTGTGTGTGCTAAACGAAAAGTACATAATAATAATTTTATAATAATTGAATATTTATTTCCGTTATAGGTATCGGTATGCAATATTATATATATATGGCATTATCGTGTGTGCGTGTCAGTTCTATATAAATGTTTTATTGCCACATTGTTTTCTTGACTGCTTACGTACCTACATACTCTTACAACCTAACCCAAAGTATTTATTTCTTTTGTCCTTTCGACACAATCTGGGCTATCTCTATACCTATCGACTCGTATAAAACTCGTATACCTATAACCTGCAAATAAATAACGCTTTCGACGACATTCGCAGAAAATGACTTTGTGTTCCATTTTTGTCTCGATTGTAACAAGACGCGTTCCAAAGCATTATTTCGAGCGAACTCGGTTGTGTGTTGTGAACTCGAGCAGGGACGGAAAACAATAGACATAGTGTGC